GATAGAAGAAATGAGAGAAGAAATAAGAAAAGAAGAAGAAGAAGAAAGAGAAGAAGCAAGAGAAGAAATTGAAAGACTATGACTACCTTCTACTGCTAAAGCTGAAGATCGCGGTGTAAGGCCATCAAAAATTACACCTTGTAGAGTAGTTTGGAGCATTCATACACCAACTGGCAGTACAAACATTTATTAAGTTGGGGGCGGTAAACTACAGCAAGTCTTTTGATTAGCCCACCGTAAGAATTGTAGTGAAGCACTGTCACATGCCCCAAAGTATGAAGCAGCGAAGCAAGCTTCCAAAGGTCATATACGTGTATGACAAGCAGAAATCGACAACAATCCAATTACAAAAGATGGTGTTATGTCGCTCATCAAGGAATGCGTAATCGATGTGAAGAAAGCCACTGCCAGAAACATAGGAGAATGGAACTCAGTGTTGGGAATTTGGAAGAACTGGCCATTTTGCTAGAGACTGTAAGAACTACAGTGGTCGTCTCAAGCTCTGGAATTGCGGTAAAATAGGGCACATAAGTCGAGAGTGTGCCCCTCAAACAAAACACGGCAGTCGTAAAACTAAGATCAGCCAACTTTATGGGGCGAAAGTTGGCTCACCCTTATTGAGCTCCCGAAGAAGTCATCATTTTGATACTGGACGGTGTTAACTCATTATTCATAGAAGGCTTCACAAATCAGCACAATGTTAGAATGGTTATTGACACAGGAGCATCCAACACCATCGTTCGACCTGATGTGGCATCGGAATGGCGAATTCGATGTTTGACCAGAAGATTGATCTTAACTACAGCTACCGGAGTACTTTCACTAATCCGTAGAGATTGCAACGTGGAAATTAAAATGGCAAATGCGATCTAATCTAGTTGGTCCTTCTTCAAGAACTTGGAATCGACTTAAATCTGAGCACTATTACAATCCGCATCGGTGTAGAAGAGATAGTAAAGTCAAATCCTAAGACGAAGCTTGCTGTCTACAAAATGATCGTAGAGGAAGATCGAGTGCTACCGAGCTCAGACTAGGAAACAGATGTAAAACTCGCGAGATTTTGATGATACCAGTGACGATCTAAGTTTACCCTACATTAGTAGACGATACTTGGAATATATATATAAATGATACTGGCAAAGAAAACTTCGAATTTCACTGCCATCTATACATAAAACTATAAAGCGTAACTTAAGGCGCGCATTTCAAAATTACACCAAATTTTTTTTTTGTTTTAATTGGAAATTGAAAAAAAAAACAAAAATATTAACAAATTTAATAACAAAGTATAAATGCAGTAATAAATACCATTACCACGATATTTTGTATGAACTACAAGAAGTTGAATGACGTAACGCTGGAGGACAGTTACCCATTGTCCCGAATCGACGACAAACTAGATAGTTTAGATGGAGCTAAATGGTTCTCTACTGTTGATTTGAAAAGTGAATACTGGCAAGTGGATATGCAACCGCAGGATAAGGAGAAGACTGCCTTTACAATTGGAAATAGTCTATGGCAGTTCAATCTGATTGGATTGTACAATGCACCGGCTACATTCGAAAAACTTATGGACATTGTATTACAAGGATTAAACTAGAAAATCTGTTTAGTTTTCCTAGACGACATAATGATACTAGGAAGAAGTTTCGACGACCACCTCCAAAACGTGACTGAACCCTTCCAGAAATTGTCAGCCGCAAGATTGAAGCTAAGAACCTAGAAATGCGTCCTGTTTAGAAGAGAAGTCAGGCCATGTCATAACATCAGAAGGAATAATGATCGACCCCTACAAACCGGATGCCGTTAAGAAGTTTTCTGGGACTTTGCTTCTACTACCGAAGATACGAGAATTTGCCAATTTAGTCTGACAACTACAGAGACTTAGAGAAGATGGAGTTTCGCTCCATTGGACACCCAAATGCCAAAAGGGATTTGAACATCTGAAGATAACACTCTCTAGAGCCCCAGTATTGAGGTACCCACAGTTCAGTGAAACCTTCAGCCGACGCTAGTAATGTGGGAGTTGGTGGTATGTTATCCCTAGTTCAAGATGGAAAGGAATATGTCATCGGGTATTTTAGTAACACACTGTTGAAACCAGAACGAAATTATTGTGTCACCCGTCGAGAGCTACAAACTATGGTTAAAACCATCGAACATTTCCACAAGTACCTGTATAGACGGAAGTTCCTTTTAAGAACGGATCATGCCTCCCTGAAGTGGCTACTGTAATTTAAGAATCCAGAAGGACAGTTTGCATAATGGTTGCAACGACATAAAGAATATGAGTTTGACATTGAGCATCGCCCAGGCAAACAACACGGTAACGTAAGAAAGAAAGAAGCCGGAACCTCAAGACGATTGTGGGTAGATGTAAGCCAGCTAATTACAAACAACGAAAACTTATTGAGCGCAGTGGACTTCCCTTAACTTGGACCACGGCGTTTTGAAAAGAATGTGGGAAAGTCCAGATGCAACCAGAAACAAACTCTAAGTAGTACTTCCGAAAAAAAAAATTTCAGAAGTCTTAGAAGCAGAAGGACATTTTGACCTTACGAAAATTCTAGGGAAAGTACGCGAGAGATGTTATTGGTCATGAAGTAGAAGCGATGAGGAAGACTGGTGCAGGAAAATGTCCGACATGCGCCGCCAGTAAAGGACCAATATCGAACCAGGAAGCTGAGAAGCTTGTCAATGACTGGATTAGTCGATATGAAGTACTATTGGAATTGGAATCCAACCAAAACAAGGACTACGTTCTTACATTCACAGTCTGACGGAATGGTTAAACGATTTAACGCTACTCTGGGGACCAATCTAAGAATCCAGGTTACCTACGGACATGATTTTGGTCGTCTTGGAGACTCTCCAGTACCTATAGACGAATACGTGGGCGAACTACGAGAACGACTAGAAGTTATCCATAAAGCTGTGCGCACGAAGCTGCGATTTGGAAGTGATCACATAAAGACTAGATACGGTCGACAAGCCAATTGTGTTGGGTTTGTCCGAAACTACAACAGCCTTAGGATGGTGCATTGTCACATGTATGTAGGCAACCCAACAAACATGGTGGCAAACAAGGCCAGGTTTCTAGACGGCTGTATACTGTAAAATTATAGAAAACGTAAAGTCTCTATAAATATTACATTACTTTGAGTGGAAAATCTCAGTAATGAGCACGGCCAATGTGTTGGGGTATACGTGTATTCAGCCGCTGCGCGTGCGCCTTGGTGCCAAAGCACGACAGTGACGCGAATCCATACGTGTACCCCCATACCACAAATCGATTAACGCGCCTAAAGAAGTGTTCACTTCAAAAATATGATTTGGAAAACGTAAAACTTAATAACACACCGATGAAAACAAATTTGAAAGTTCAGACAATTTTGTACAGAAATCTCTTTGCCAAATTATTCGGTGTGAATTATCTAGGTAGATATCAAAATTATTATGACGAGACTTGAAATGCTACCAGAGACCTTTAATGTAAAAATTGATAATTGAAGATAATGCCGGAGCTTTAACTATCGCTAAGTTCGGTAATTTTACTCAAAATGCTAAGCAGAAAAAAGTTTAATATCGTTAAGTTAGCGAAAACTTCGAAAGAGGAATCATTGACTTAATTAANACATACATATGCTATTCATAGCAAAAATTAAAAAATAAATAATATTCATAATAATGTAAGTGAAGATGTAAAAGAGGCGTGTTGGATATTACATTCTTATCTTCTTGTGTATCTGAGTCGACATTTGTGCGTGTACTATCGTAACCATAATCATGTAGTATCTACTGAATATGTTGTTCGTCGATCATATCGATTTTATCTTCCATCTTGTACAATCTTGTATGAAGGTGTGTACGGGTTGTAACAATTAAGCTATAACTTGAACTTGTATCTACCCTTTTTATTCAATAAATGTCTTTCCTTAACATTTTTTTTGTTGTGGTTATTATATATTCTGTTAAATATATTGTAGTTTAATATCTGTATACTGAATTTTCATTAGGATATTCCATTGTCCACTAACAATCACCCTCTCCTACTTAGGTACATTTAAAAATACTTCTGTAAAAAACTGCGTCAGTGTATTACTATTTATATTGACGTTAAATACATAGACATTATAAAATGAATAGAGAACCATACAAGAAATTCAGGAAAAATATAAAACATCAATCAATGTCACCGTTAGCGCAACGAGCCGCAGAGTTTCAAACTGGAATTCGCCTTGGACGAAGAAATTATAAATTTCAGGTCACAATGTATTGCCAATAAACATCGACGTCAAAATGCTGAACAATAGAAAAATACACATTACTTAATTAAGAAATTAATCTTTCAAAATTTAGGTAGTCATTGATTATTTTAATAGCAAACCAGTAGCTGAACAAGCGTTACAGGGTGAGCTCATATATAGGCAATTATGGTACACAATCACGAAGTATTACTTGTATTGATTAGCTAATAACTATACATCCATGAGTTTTCTAGTGGGGATACTTCTAAAAAAACAAAAATGTGTTGAAAAGGTTCATAATTATACCACACAAAATGACACTAGGTATGATTATGCAGAATGCAGAGAAACATTCAATCAGCAGCTTTTTCGCAATCGTAGGTTGACCCAGTTGGCCAAGCACCAAGTCGATGTTATCTGTATTTCAATTTTATCCCGATGAACTTGAAGAATGTCACATACATATGCTCAAAATTTGAGGAAAATAGTGCATGTTATTATGGTGAAAAGCGCAATGCAGCTCTTTATCTTGATGGCTCACTGTTGTCGTGATTAGTGTTAGTTTTCTTGACGGTTGATATTTATAATATTATAAGCACTTTTTAAATATATATTGGTAAAAAAAAGAATGAAGAACGAACTGTTGATGAATCTGAAAACCAATAAATAGTAATTAAATAAATTGTTCAAAATCTAAAAAAAGTTAGTTGGTATTGGTACTGATAAGCTTCTAATGATGTTTTTGTGTTTTAGGAATTTCGCAGTTAACACAATGTAGTCAAATTGCCAATTTACCAGAGTTGCCTGCTTCCGATGAAGAGCGTCTCCTACAAGCAGCTTTATCTCTTCAACAAAAGCTAATTCTGCGTCAGTGGATGAGCAAATTCAGTTTACTTAATTATTACCCACGGTATGTATACCTATCATCAGATTAATAATATGTAATAATTGTTATATTTATTATTACAGATTATTAGCTCTTAATGTTAACAGATTAGATGACGTTTATTGGTTTGAAAATAGTAAAGCAAGTCATGTTCTTAGTAAAGATTACGTACTATGGTCTAATGCTCGACAATCATTGCCTACAACTAAACAAGAGCTGGAATCCCTAAAGGCTGATCTTTGGTCAGAAGTTGTTAAAAGTACTAACCATCAGGACGCGTGGACATGGGGTAAGGGTTTATTTATTTATTAATATCTATCCAGAATTAACAATACCATTACTGTTTTACAATTGAACTTGTACCTATAGCGTACGTAATAAATATAACTGTGTATAGCCTCCATGGTATGCTTTTTTATTATTTATAAACGTTGCCTGTGTTTTATTTGAATGTATAACTAACAATAAAATATGGACGACAGTTTAGACCATGAAAGTGAGACGTCTGTTGTAAAGAAAGCGAAACTACACTATTACATATGATTAAGTTAACTACAGGGTGTCTCATAGAAGAGTTAGAATTTTAAAATTGAATATTTAAAAGACCGTTTGAATTGAGCATGGAGAGAGGGGTATTTTAGATTCGTCTTTCATGCGGATTTGTCATTTGCAATGTCGAATTGATTGGGTGCCCATCGCGATTACGCTGTTGAAGCGTTTATCATGGGGTACGTTATGACTCGGCGGCAGGTTTGTTCCCACTACAACATCAAACGTTTACGAGATGAACCAAGCGAAAATTTGATTCGTTAGTGGGTCCAGAAGTTTCGAGGTACAGGTTCGTCCATAAATCTGCCACGTCCGAGCTCGAGCGAAACTTCAAGAACTGAAGAAACAATAAATGAAGTTGCAGCTATAGCGTTTGTTGCAATCCTTGGTTATCAATGCGCAAAAGAGCAGCGGCAACGTTACCAAATCTACTGTAGAGCAGATTTTGAAGCGTGATCTGAAATTTCATTCCTGTAAAATCTAGATACTAGAGACAATAACTGAAAATGACCACAATTTACAAAAATGTTTTTGTCAGATAGTCATTGAGAGATTTCTCACTTTGTATTATGTGTTAGAGTGTTGAAGCCCATTTCAATTTCAATGGATATGTGAATAAACAGTTGTCACTTCTGGTCACTTATCAATCTCAGGCAAAAAGAAATAAAACACTTCTACATAGCCCAAAAGTAACAGTGTGGTGTGCTCTATCAGTGAATGGAATAATTGAGCCGTATTTTTCTGAAAATGCGAGAGGTGCATGTTGTTGCATTTCGATAAATGATATCCAGTTATTTTATATGCCGGCTTCGAAAACATACTGCGTACAATTTACGGACGTAGTTTCAGAAGGACGGAGCCATTTCCCTTTGGTGATATCGTATGGCCTCCGTAATTACCTGATTTAAGCTCCATAGAGTTTTTCTTGTGGGAGTATCTTAATAAGCAAGGTTTATATGAATACTCCGAGGAATATTGCCGAGTTAAAAGAAAACATTCGTCGTGAAGTAAGAGAAATTGAGCCTGTTCCGGCGTACTATACAAAATATCATAGACAGATTCCATGAGTGCGTGTAATGAAATAGAGGACATAATTTTCAAATAATCAAATCCGCATTATTTCTAATTACTTTTTAATAAAAATATTTTTCCTAAAATGTATGACTTTCTTTAATATAATTCGCTATTAAGACTAAAATAGTTTCTTTAGCGTAAAAGAACAAAACCAAAATCAGTCTATTTACATCAAAAAATATTTTAAAACCCATTTTGGCTTTGATCTTCTTCACATTGTAATAAGGTGAAGAAATGGAGTCCATAATTTCTTTACCGTTAAGTTCATCTAATGAGACGTTTTTGAAATACTTTTTTAAGACTTTAAGTATATGTATTAACACAGCGCAACATCTTGTAATTTTCCGGCTTTTACGGCAGTTGTACAGGGTATCCTTATCTCTTATTTTTATACATAGAGCGTTGCGGTTTTCTGTCAGTGTTCTACTTTTTTGTGAAATGAAAGATGGCGTCAATAAAATTTTTAAATCACTGTAAAAAAAATTAGTGTTTAAATCGTCCTCCAACTTCATCCCAAAAGACTAAACCCCTTTTGGTTTTAGAGATATAGGGTATAGGACCTTGTTGGAGCATACGTAATCCTAAAATGTAGCATCGTGCTACAGATGGCGTTTACTGCGCCATTTGTAGTATTTTCTGCTAGTGATTTGGATCAGGAAAAGTTAACTTGGAGGCGACTTGGAAACTTCTTCCTGAATGTTTATAAGACGGGCCAGCTGGCGGTTTTGCATTTGGATTACTATCTGTTTCGATGTTCCACATTGTCCCGACGTCTTCCTGTTACAATAATCTGCCATAATATAAGCGTGTTTAAGCCTATCCATCGAAAAATTCAACGTGACGTTAACGGACATCGATTGTGAACGTTTTAGTGCGCCTCTCAACTACCTTGAAAGGTCCTTCGCAAGGCTGTTGTAGTAACGCCTTAAGTCCACTGCGACGGAGAAAGACCCTTTGTGCGGTAGTCATATTTTTGAACATAAATGTTCCATGGTTGGTTCCTTCGACGGGACGCAAACGCTGTATGTGTTGGCGTAAGGCTTGCAGATAGGTTTCGGGATTGTTTATGGAAGTGGCCAGGGATTAAAAACTCTCCTGGTATTTTGAGTGGTTCTCCATATACCATCTCTGCCGCTGAGGACTATAAGTCGCCTTTTTAGGCCGCTCGAATTCCTGGCAAAGTACTTCCGTTCAACTGGAATTGGCATGGCACATAATTGCACCTTTTAATTGCCGGTGCAATCGCTCGACGAGACCGTTAGCTTGTGGATGTGAAGAGACTGGACTCAAATTGCCTCCCTTGGTCTGTGGTAATTCGTAAGAGAACGCCGAACCTATCTATCTAGTGTGAGAAGAAAGTTCGCATTACAGTTGTGACTTCCTGGTCCATCGTAGGTAGCGCTTCGGGCTATCGAGAGAACCTGTCGACACACATGAGGCAGTATCTGAATCCATCTGAACTCGGCATGACGACAGTGTCCACATGGACGTGTTCGAACCTTAGGCATTGGGAACGTCCGTTGTGGTGGTTTCGTATAGCGTGTAACCTTGGATCGTTGGCACACTTTGCAACTCTGTGTCATTCGCTGCAGTCCTTTTTTATTGACGACCAAACAACGCTGTGTTATCATTTTGACTGTCGCTTTTACTCCAGGATGTGAGAGACTATATGTAACGTTGAAAATGGTGCGTCTGAATTTGGAAGTGACGAAGGGGCGCACTTCTTGGTAGACACATCATATAACAGCTCGGGATAGCTTCTGGCATAGTTATTCACTTCAGTTAGAGCGACGTCGATTTGTTGGTTATCGAGGTTTTCAGCTCTTCATCGGTCCATTGTGAGGCTGCTAGTGCTTCGAAATCAAATGCGTCTGACACTTTTTCAATTCAGGTAATCGCATCAGCGACCACATTTCTGTCTCCTGAGACGTGGCGTATATCTGTGGAAAACTGTTATTGTTGACTAGTTGTTACAGGATTACATAAATGATTAAGTCTGATGCGTCAGAGAAAACTGCTAGTGGTGCGTTCGGTATAGGATGAGTAAGCAAGGTAGCTTTGGCTAAACTGTCCATGCATGCCTCAAATGCCTCTTTGGTTGTTGCTGTCCATACCACGGGTGCTTTGCCTTTTGCGTTGCCTTGTAATAAATTATTTAGCACTGTTGCTGCGTTTGGTATAAATCGCCTATAGAAATGCAACATGCCCAAAAAGCGACGAAGTTATTTCACAGTATCCGGCTACGGAAATGAACGAATGACTTCTACTTTCTCAGGAAGGGGCTGCGTTCCTTCACTAGAAATGAGATAACCAAGAAACTTAACTGTTGATTGGCCGAAAACACTTCGCAGGGTTAACAATCACGCCATAGAACTGTAAACGCTCGAATAGCGTCCTTAGATAGTATGACGTGTTGCTCTGGCGTTTTTGATGCGACGAGAATGTCATCTATATAAGCATAACAAAAGTCCATTCCACGAAGCACCTCATCTATAAATCTTTGAAAGGTCTGCGAAGTGTTTTTAAATCTAAAACACATGTATGGAAATAAACCCGAATGGTGTGGTTATCGCTGTTTGCATTAGATCCTCTTCAGCGACTGGAATCTGGCGAAAGGCCTTCACAAGGTCTATGGTAGAGAAGATCGTTTCGTTGGAGAGAGTCTGCGAAAAGTCATGAATGTGACGTACAGGATATCTATGTGGTTCTATACGAGCGTTCAATCTCCGGTAGTCACGACACGGCCTCCATTCTTCTCTTGCTTCGGTACCATGTGAAGTAGAGACGACCAGCAGCTTTTGAAGGGTCTTGCAATTCCTGTTCTCAGCACGATATCGAGCTTCTTGGCAATTTTTTACATCTTTAGGGCTAACCGTCGTGGTTTATGAGCATCGAGTGGCCCTGGCATAGCTTTGATATGAAGCTTGGTGTGATGTTTCGTGTTCTTCACCACGCCACCTGGTCGCTTGGATAACAGTTCATGAAAAATTGTAGAACCCGAAATGGTCTTAATACATGGAAGACTTCCATTCGAGGCTCTAGAGGTAATTTGCGTCGTCACATCCTGGAGTTTTCGATTTCTTACATTTACCAGGAGATTGTTATGTGAAAGAAAATCGACATCAGCAACTACAAATCTCCATAAAAGATCACGACTTAGACCGAGGTCAAGTGTTAACGTAATTGTACCGATAGTCGCTATAGTTGTTCCATTGACTGTGCAATGTTGATATGTTGACTTTTCGCACGCTCCTTTTACTAGCGAAGGGTACCAATAGTTATCACTAGAAGCACTACGGTTTCGGAAACGAGGACGTGAATTTGAATGCGACTTTGACCGTTGTTTATGTTGATTTCACAGTTCGGACACTTCTTGTTTAATCATCATCTCTCTCTGCAACGGTGCTGCTGCAAGTCCTTTCAGATGGCGAAGGAACTGCGACGGCTTTCGGTCCCCTATCTCTTCTGTAGTAGGCGTCTAGTTTTTTGCTCCTGGGACGTGCCGAACCTTTCGACCAACTATATTTTTAATATCTCGTATGCGTTTCTTTCAGGCTTGTTGACTATGATGTCTCTAACTTCCACGGCGTACCGTGGCTCCAAGGCTTCTATGACGCAACTGAATTTAGTGGCGTCGGTAGTTACTTTCGCATTTACAAAGCTGCTTTCCATCATTGCAAACCATAGCTCTGGATCGGCAGGGATGAACGATGGTAGACGAGATGCGACGTGGTTGACGGATAATGCAATTTCTGATTCGCTCGATGTCTATCTACTATTCCCGACAGAATTGTTCAAAGCCATTTTCGAAAAACAATCACAACCCGCGCACCCTCAAATAATGCACAGTAAAAATGTACTTACGATTTTTTGTACGTGCACTACCACAGTTTGGTCACTATTTGTTGGGTAATACTTTGCTGTTATGCTGGATCGCATTTTTGCCTTTCCGTCGGACACTCAGACGATTTGTTCTTTGTTGGGCACTTAGAAGATTGTCTGTTTGTTCTTCATCAGGCACTCTAGAAGATTCTGTATTTGCCCTTAGTCGGGGTCACTAATTTAGGTATGGTGGTGATTCAATGCACTTTGCAAAAATTAAATAAACCAGAAGAAACACAATGAAAACGTAACAAATTTAATTAATAATAGCTGAAGAAAGAAGCAGAATAGTTGAACAGCGTTGAAGTCTGCCACAACTATTAGGTTTTCCTGCCCTTTCACGAAACTTAACACGTCTTCTATATCTGCATAAACCGCTTCTACGTCTTCATCATTGTAAGATTACCATTTTTACCGGCTTCGAGTTTAATTTAACCATTACTGTTATATCACTTTTTTGTAAATAACTTTTTACACTCTTCCCTTCCTACGCATCACAATTCCTACCCCCGAATTACTTTCCACAGATCCTGTATGTATTATTCTAAAGTCTCCACATCCGGAAGTCATCAGCTTTTGGCCAACGGACTTCACTAATTAACTTTTATCTAAATCATCTAAATATTTTAAAGTTTAGATCCAATCAAGAACATATTCACTGTCTCAGGATAAAAACTCATCTTGTGGGTACCTATACACATATGTATACAAACGAAATGTAATATTTGTAATTGTTATTTTTCTGTAGATTAAGAACAACACTGATCAATCATTAATTGACTTGCCACTCATTGAGACAAAATCGGCCATTCTTGCATTCCTTACTTTTATGCGAAATAGTGGTATATCATTAATTTTTTTACAGGTGGAATGTTAATTGTATCTGTATCGATCGCTGGGTTGGTCACTTTGGCTGCTATGACCCAGCCGTCCCTAGCGCCAGAAGCAAAGCATACTCTTCTACAGTATGTTACCGGAAAGTATTTGATGCCATCAAACTGCAAAGTAGGAATCAAGCTTATTACATCCAATATAGATACAAAAAAAAATTAAAGATATCGCAACATTCTTTCGATTCAAATTATATCATAAGTTTTAATTTAATAAATCTAAAAATTGTGTTTTTTAATTTTCGATATGTACGTGGTAGGCAAATGTCAACGGAATTGTGTTAATAATTTAGTTCATAAATACCATTAGTTTGTTTCGCGATATTAATCTACAATAGGCCTCTCAACAGGTTACATTTCATTGGAACGATATGCATCCAGTTGGTCATACAGTCTGTTTTACTGTACATTTCTACCAACGTAATGGACAACCGTATCCGATTTGTGATACTGATCAATTAACCGTTGAAGTCTCCGACGGAACCAGAAAGGTAATAACTAAAGAATAAAAAGAAAAGTTTATCAGAAAAGGGAAACAAAATAATAATTTATTAATCCTTTATATTGAGAANTGGACGATAGTAGTGACATCTAAGTTTACCCCACATTAGTAGACGATACTTGGAATATATATATAAATGGCTAAGAAAACTTCGAATTTCACTGCCATCTATACATCAAACTATGAAGCGTAACCAAAGGCGCGCATTTCAAAATTACACCAAATTTTTTTTTTGTTTTAATTGGAAATTGAAAAAAAAAACAAAAATATTAACAAATTTAATAACAAAGTATAAATGCAGTAATAAATACCATTACCACGATATTTTGTATGAACTACAAGAAGTTGAATGACGTAACGCTGGAGGACAGTTACCCATTGTCCCGAATCGACGACAAACTAGATAGTTTAGATGGAGCTAAATGGTTCTCTACTGTTGATTTGAAAAGTGAATACTGGCAAGTGGATATGCAACCGCAGGATAAGGAGAAGACTGCCTTTACAATTGGAAATAGTCTATGGCAGTTCAATCTGATTGGATTGTACAATGCACCGGCTACATTCGAAAAACTTATGGACATTGTATTACAAGGATTAAACTAGAAAATCTGTTTAGTTTTCCTAGACGACATAATGATACTAGGAAGAAGTTTCGACGACCACCTCCAAAACGTGACTGAACCCTTCCAGAAATTGTCAGCCGCAAGATTGAAGCTAAGAACCTAGAAATGCGTCCTGTTTAGAAGAGAAGTCAGGCCATGTCATAACATCAGAAGGAATAATGATCGACCCCTACAAACCGGATGCCGTTAAGAAGTTTTCTGGGACTTTGCTTCTACTACCGAAGATACGAGAATTTGCCAATTTAGTCTGACAACTACAGAGACTTAGAGAAGATGGAGTTTCGCTCCATTGGACACCCAAATGCCAAAAGGGATTTGAACATCTGAAGATAACACTCTCTAGAGCCCCAGTATTGAGGTACCCACAGTTCAGTGAAACCTTCAGCCGACGCTAGTAATGTGGGAGTTGGTGGTATGTTATCCCTAGTTCAAGATGGAAAGGAATATGTCATCGGGTATTTTAGTAACACACTGTTGAAACCAGAACGAAATTATTGTGTCACCCGTCGAGAGCTACAAACTATGGTTAAAACCATCGAACATTTCCACAAGTACCTGTATAGACGGAAGTTCCTTTTAAGAACGGATCATGCCTCCCTGAAGTGGCTACTGTAATTTAAGAATCCAGAAGGACAGTTTGCATAATGGTTGCAACGACATAAAGAATATGAGTTTGACATTGAGCATCGCCCAGGCAAACAACACGGTAACGTAAGAAAGAAAGAAGCCGGAACCTCAAGACGATTGTGGGTAGATGTAAGCCAGCTAATTACAAACAACGAAAACTTATTGAGCGCAGTGGACTTCCCTTAACTTGGACCACGGCGTTTTGAAAAGAATGTGGGAAAGTCCAGATGCAACCAGAAACAAACTCTAAGTAGTACTTCCGAAAAAAAAAATTTCAGAAGTCTTAGAAGCAGAAGGACATTTTGACCTTACGAAAATTCTAGGGAAAGTACGCGAGAGATGTTATTGGTCATGAAGTAGAAGCGATGAGGAAGACTGGTGCAGGAAAATGTCCGACATGCGCCGCCAGTAAAGGACCAATATCGAACCAGGAAGCTGAGAAGCTTGTCAATGACTGGATTAGTCGATATGAAGTACTATTGGAATTGGAATCCAACCAAAACAAGGACTACGTTCTTACATTCACAGTCTGACGGAATGGTTAAACGATTTAACGCTACTCTGGGGACCAATCTAAGAATCCAGGTTACCTACGGACATGATTTTGGTCGTCTTGGAGACTCTCCAGTACCTATAGACGAATACGTGGGCGAACTACGAGAACGACTAGAAGTTATCCATAAAGCTGTGCGCACGAAGCTGCGATTTGGAAGTGATCACATAAAGACTAGATACGGTCGACAAGCCAATTGTGTTGGGTTTGTCCGAAACTACAACAGCCTTAGGATGGTGCATTGTCACATGTATGTAGGCAACCCAACAAACATGGTGGCAAACAAGGCCAGGTTTCTAGACGGCTGTATACTGTAAAATTATAGAAAACGTAAAGTCTCTATAAATATTACATTACTTTGAGTGGAAAATCTCAGTAATGAGCACGGCCAATGTGTTGGGGTATACGTGTATTCAGCCGCTGCGCGTGCGCCTTGGTGCCAAAGCACGACAGTGACGCGAATCCATACGTGTACCCCCATACCACAAATCGATTAACGCGCCTAAAGAAGTGTTCACTTCAAAAATATGATTTGGAAAACGTAAAACTTAATAACACACCGATGAAAACAAATTTGAAAGTTCAGACAATTTTGTACAGAAATCTCTTTGCCAAATTATTCGGTGTGAATTATCTAGGTAGATATCAAAATTATTATGACGAGACTTGAAATGCTACCAGAGACCTTTAATGTAAAAATTGATAATTGAAGATAATGCCGGAGCTTTAACTATCGCTAAGTTCGGTAATTTTACTCAAAATGCTAAGCAGAAAAAAGTTTAATATCGTTAAGTTAGCGAAAACTTCGAAAGAGGAATCATTGACTTAATTAAAATCGAATCTGCAAACAATGACCCCGACATACTCACTAAGTAAAGCTATGTAAAGATAAGTTCCTGAAAAAAATGCTACAATTATGTAGCAATTAATGTAGAATGTAATTCATAGCAAAAATTAAAAAATAAATAATATTCATAATAATGTAAGTGAAGATGTAAAAGAGGCGTGTTGGATATTACATTCTTATCTTCTTGTGTATCTGAGTCGACATTTGTGCGTGTACTATCGTAACCATAATCATGTAGTATCTACTGAATATGTTGTTCGTCGATCATATCGATTTTATCTTCCATCTTGTACAATCTTGTATGAAGGTGTGTACGGGTTGTAACAATTAAGCTATAACTTGAACTTGTATCTACCCTTTTTATTCAATAAATGTCTTTCCTTAACATTTTTTTTGTTGTGGTTATTATATATTCTGTTAAATATATTGTAGTTTAATATCTGTATACTGAATTTTCATTAGGATATTCCATTGTCCACTAACAATCACCCTCTCCTACTTAGGTACATTTAAAAATACTTCTGTAAAAAACTGCGTCAGTGTATTACTATTTATATTGACGTTAAATACATAGACATTATAAAATGAATAGAGAACCATACAAGAAATTCAGGAAAAATATAAAACATCAATCAATGTCACCGTTAGCGCAACGAGCCGCAGAGTTTCAAACTGGAATTCGCCTTGGACGAAGAAATTATAAATTTCAGGTCACAATGTATTGCCAATAAACATCGACGTCAAAATGCTGAACAATAGAAAAATACACATTACTTAATTAAGAAATTAATCTTTCAAAATTTAGGTAGTCATTGATTATTTTAATAGCAAACCAGTAGCTGAACAAGCGTTACAGGGTGAGCTCATATATAGGCAATTATGGTACACAATCACGAAGTATTACTTGTATTGATTAGCTAATAACTATACATCCATGAGTTTTCTAGTGGGGATACTTCTAAAAAAACAAAAATGTGTTGAAAAGGTTCATAATTATACCACACAAAATGACACTAGGTATGATTATGCAGAATGCAGAGAAACATTCAATCAGCAGCTTTTTCGCAATCGTAGGTTGACCCAGTTGGCCAAGCACCAAGTCGATGTTATCTGTATTTCAATTTTATCCCGATGAACTTGAAGAATGTCACATACATATGCTCAAAATTTGAGGAAAATAGTGCATGTTATTATGGTGAAAAGCGCAATGCAGCTCTTTATCTTGATGGCTCACTGTTGTCGTGATTAGTGTTAGTTTTCTTGACGGTTGATATTTATAATATTATAAGCACTTTTTAAATATATATTGGTAAAAAAAAGAATGAAGAACGAACTGTTGATGAATCTGAAAACCAATAAATAGTAATTAAATAAATTGTTCAAAATCTAAAAAAAGTTAGTTGGTATTGGTACTGATAAGCTTCTAATGATGTTTTTGTGTTTTAGGAATTTCGCAGTTAACACAATGTAGTCAAATTGCCAATTTACCAGAGTTGCCTGCTTCCGATGAAGAGCGTCTCCTACAAGCAGCTTTATCTCTTCAACAAAAGCTAATTCTGCGTCAGTGGATGAGCAAATTCAGTTTACTTAATTATTACCCACGGTATGTATACCTATCATCAGATTAATAATATGTAATAATTGTTATATTTATTATTACAGATTATTAGCTCTTAATGTTAACAGATTAGATGACGTTTATTGGTTTGAAAATAGTAAAGCAAGTCATGTTCTTAGTAAAGATTACGTACTATGGTCTAATGCTCGACAATCATTGCCTACAACTAAACAAGAGCTGGAATCCCTAAAGGCTGATCTTTGGTCAGAAGTTGTTAAAAGTACTAACCATCAGGACGCGTGGACATGGGGTAAGGGTTTATTTATTTATTAATATCTATCCAGAATTAACAATACCATTACTGTTTTACAATTGAACTTGTACCTATAGCGTACGTAATAAATATAACTGTGTATAGCCTCCATGGTATGCTTTTTTATTATTTATAAACGTTGCCTGTGTTTTATTTGAATGTATAACTAACAATAAAATATGGACGACAGTTTAGACCATGAAAGTGAGACGTCTGTTGTAAAGAAAGCGAAACTACACTATTACATATGATTAAGTTAACTACAGGGTGTCTCATAGAAGAGTTAGAATTTTAAAATTGAATATTTAAAAGACCGTTTGAATTGAGCATGGAGAGAGGGGTATTTTAGATTCGTCTTTCATGCGGATTTGTCATTTGCAATGTCGAATTGATTGGGTGCCCATCGCGATTACGCTGTTGAAGCGTTTATCATGGGGTACGTTATGACTCGGCGGNTGTAATAAGGTGAAGAAATGGAGTCCATAATTTCTTTACCGTTAAGTTCATCTAATGAGACGTTTTTGAAATACTTTTTTAAGACTTTAAGTATATGTATTAACACAGCGCAACATCTTGTAATTTTCCGGCTTTTACGGCAGTTGTACAGGGTATCCTTATCTCTTATTTTTATACATAGAGCGTTGCGGTTTTCTGTCAGTGTTCTACTTTTTTGTGAAATGAAAGATGGCGTCAATAAAATTTTTAAATCACTGTAAAAAAAATTAGTGTTTAAATCGTCCTCCAACTTCATCCCAAAAGACTAAACCCCTTTTGGTTTTAGAGATATAGGGTATAGGACCTTGTTGGAGCATACGTAATCCTAAAATGTAGCATCGTGCTACAGATGGCGTTTACTGCGCCATTTGTAGTATTTTCTGCTAGTGATTTGGATCAGGAAAAGTTAACTTGGAGGCGACTTGGAAACTTCTTCCTGAATGTTTATAAGACGGGCCAGCTGGCGGTTTTGCATTTGGATTACTATCTGTTTCGATGTTCCACATTGTCCCGACGTCTTCCTGTTACAATAATCTGCCATAATATAAGCGTGTTTAAGCCTATCCATCGAAAAATTCAACGTGACGTTAACGGACATCGATTGTGAACGTTTTAGTGCGCCTCTCAACTACCTTGAAAGGTCCTTCGCAAGGCTGTTGTAGTAACGCCTTAAGTCCACTGCGACGGAGAAAGACCCTTTGTGCGGTAGTCATATTTTTGAACATAAATGTTCCATGGTTGGTTCCTTCGACGGGACGCAAACGCTGTATGTGTTGGCGTAAGGCTTGCAGATAGGTTTCGGGATTGTTTATGGAAGTGGCCAGGGATTAAAAACTCTCCTGGTATTTTGAGTGGTTCTCCATATACCATCTCTGCCGCTGAGGACTATAAGTCGCCTTTTTAGGCCGCTCGAATTCCTGGCAAAGTACTTCCGTTCAACTGGAATTGGCATGGCACATAATTGCACCTTTTAATTGCCGGTGCAATCGCTCGACGAGACCGTTAGCTTGTGGATGTGAAGAGACTGGACTCAAATTGCCTCCCTTGGTCTGTGGTAATTCGTAAGAGAACGCCGAACCTATCTATCTAGTGTGAGAAGAAAGTTCGCATTACAGTTGTGACTTCCTGGTCCATCGTAGGTAGCGCTTCGGGCTATCGAGAGAACCTGTCGACACACATGAGGCAGTATCTGAATCCATCTGAACTCGGCATGACGACAGTGTCCACATGGACGTGTTCGAACCTTAGGCATTGGGAACGTCCGTTGTGGTGGTTTCGTATAGCGTGTAACCTTGGATCGTTGGCACACTTTGCAACTCTGTGTCATTCGCTGCAGTCCTTTTTTATTGACGACCAAACAACGCTGTGTTATCATTTTGACTGTCGCTTTTACTCCAGGATGTGAGAGACTATATGTAACGTTGAAAATGGTGCGTCTGAATTTGGAAGTGACGAAGGGGCGCACTTCTTGGTAGACACATCATATAACAGCTCGGGATAGCTTCTGGCATAGTTATTCACTTCAGTTAGAGCGACGTCGATTTGTTGGTTATCGAGGTTTTCAGCTCTTCATCGGTCCATTGTGAGGCTGCTAGTGCTTCGAAATCAAATGCGTCTGACACTTTTTCAATTCAGGTAATCGCATCAGCGACCACATTTCTGTCTCCTGAGACGTGGCGTATATCTGTGGAAAACTGTTATTGTTGACTAGTTGTTACAGGATTACATAAATGATTAAGTCTGATGCGTCAGAGAAAACTGCTAGTGGTGCGTTCGGTATAGGATGAGTAAGCAAGGTAGCTTTGGCTAAACTGTCCATGCATGCCTCAAATGCCTCTTTGGTTGTTGCTGTCCATACCACGGGTGCTTTGCCTTTTGCGTTGCCTTGTAATAAATTATTTAGCACTGTTGCTGCGTTTGGTATAAATCGCCTATAGAAATGCAACATGCCCAAAAAGCGACGAAGTTATTTCACAGTATCCGGCTACGGAAATGAACGAATGACTTCTACTTTCTCAGGAAGGGGCTGCGTTCCTTCACTAGAAATGAGATAACCAAGAAACTTAACTGTTGATTGGCCGAAAACACTTCGCAGGGTTAACAATCACGCCATAGAACTGTAAACGCTCGAATAGCGTCCTTAGATAGTATGACGTGTTGCTCTGGCGTTTTTGATGCGACGAGAATGTCATCTATATAAGCATAACAAAAGTCCATTCCACGAAGCACCTCACCTATAAATCTTTGAAAGGTCTGCGAAGTGTTTTTAAATCTAAAACACATGTATGGAAATAAACCCGAATGGTGTGGTTATCGCTGTTTGCATTAGATCCTCTTCAGCGACTGGAATCTGGCGAAAGGCCTTCACAAGGTCTATGGTAGAGAAGATCGTTTCGTTGGAGAGAGTCTGCGAAAAGTCATGAATGTGACGTACAGGATATCTATGTGGTTCTATACGAGCGTTCAATCTCCGGTAGTCACGACACGGCCTCCATTCTTCTCTTGCTTCGGTACCATGTGAAGTAGAGACGACCAGCAGCTTTTGAAGGGTCTTGCAATTCCTGTTCTCAGCACGATATCGAGCTTCTTGGCAATTTTTTACATCTTTAGGGCTAACCGTCGTGGTTTATGAGCATCGAGTGGCCCTGGCATAGCTTTGATATGAAGCTTGGTGTGATGTTTCGTGTTCTTCACCACGCCACCTGGTCGCTTGGATAACAGTTCATGAAAAATTGTAGAACCCGAAATGGTCTTAATACATGGAAGACTTCCATTCGAGGCTCTAGAGGTAATTTGCGTCGTCACATCCTGGAGTTTTCGATTTCTTACATTTACCAGGAGATTGTTATGTGAAAGAAAATCGACATCAGCAACTACAAATCTCCATAAAAGATCACGACTTAGACCGAGGTCAAGTGTTAACGTAATTGTACCGATAGTCGCTATAGTTGTTCCATTGACTGTGCAATGTTGATATGTTGACTTTTCGCACGCTCCTTTTACTAGCGAAGGGTACCAATAGTTATCACTAGAAGCACTACGGTTTCGGAAACGAGGACGTGAATTTGAATGCGACTTTGACCGTTGTTTATGTTGATTTCACAGTTCGGACACTTCTTGTTTAATCATCATCTCTCTCTGCAACGGTGCTGCTGCAAGTCCTTTCAGATGGCGAAGGAACTGCGACGGCTTTCGGTCCCCTATCTCTTCTGTAGTAGGCGTCTAGTTTTTTGCTCCTGGGACGTGCCGAACCTTTCGACCAACTATATTTTTAATATCTCGTATGCGTTTCTTTCAGGCTTGTTGACTATGATGTCTCTAACTTCCACGGCGTACCGTGGCTCCAAGGCTTCTATGACGCAACTGAATTTAGTGGCGTCGGTAGTTACTTTCGCATTTACAAAGCTGCTTTCCATCATTGCAAACCATAGCTCTGGATCGGCAGGGATGAACGATGGTAGACGAGATGCGACGTGGTTGACGGATAATGCAATTTCTGATTCGCTCGATGTCTATCTACTATTCCCGACAGAATTGTTCAAAGCCATTTTCGAAAAACAATCACAACCCGCGCACCCTCAAATAATGCACAGTAAAAATGTACTTACGATTTTTTGTACGTGCACTACCACAGTTTGGTCACTATTTGTTGGGTAATACTTTGCTGTTATGCTGGATCGCATTTTTGCCTTTCCGTCGGACACTCAGACGATTTGTTCTTTGTTGGGCACTTAGAAGATTGTCTGTTTGTTCTTCATCAGGCACTCTAGAAGATTCTGTATTTGCCCTTAGTCGGGGTCACTAATTTAGGTATGGTGGTGATTCAATGCACTTTGCAAAAATTAAATAAACCAGAAGAAACACAATGAAAACGTAACAAATTTAATTAATAATAGCTGAAGAAAGAAGCAGAATAGTTGAACAGCGTTGAAGTCTGCCACAACTATTAGGTTTTCCTGCCCTTTCACGAAACTTAACACGTCTTCTATATCTGCATAAACCGCTTCTACGTCTTCATCATTGTAAGATTACCATTTTTACCGGCTTCGAGTTTAATTTAACCATTACTGTTATATCACTTTTTTGTAAATAACTTTTTACACTCTTCCCTTCCTACGCATCACAATTCCTACCCCCGAATTACTTTCCACAGATCCTGTATGTATTATTCTAAAGTCTCCACATCCGGAAGTCATCAGCTTTTGGCCAACGGACTTCACTAATTAACTTTTATCTAAATCATCTAAATATTTTAAAGTTTAGATCCAATCAAGAACATATTCACTGTCTCAGGATAAAAACTCATCTTGTGGGTACCTATACACATATGTATACAAACGAAATGTAATATTTGTAATTGTTATTTTTCTGTAGATTAAGAACAACACTGATCAATCATTAATTGACTTGCCACTCATTGAGACAAAATCGGCCATTCTTGCATTCCTTACTTTTATGCGAAATAGTGGTATATCATTAATTTTTTTACAGGTGGAATGTTAATTGTATCTGTATCGATCGCTGGGTTGGTCACTTTGGCTGCTATGACCCAGCCGTCCCTAGCGCCAGAAGCAAAGCATACTCTTCTACAGTATGTTACCGGAAAGTATTTGATGCCATCAAACTGCAAAGTAGGAATCAAGCTTATTACATCCAATATAGATACAAAAAAAAATTAAAGATATCGCAACATTCTTTCGATTCAAATTATATCATAAGTTTTAATTTAATAAATCTAAAAATTGTGTTTTTTAATTTTCGATATGTACGTGGTAGGCAAATGTCAACGGAATTGTGTTAATAATTTAGTTCATAAATACCATTAGTTTGTTTCGCGATATTAATCTACAATAGGCCTCTCAACAGGTTACATTTCATTGGAACGATATGCATCCAGTTGGTCATACAGTCTGTTTTACTGTACATTTCTACCAACGTAATGGACAACCGTATCCGATTTGTGATACTGATCAATTAACCGTTGAAGTCTCCGACGGAACCAGAAAGGTAATAACTAAAGAATAAAAAGAAAAGTTTATCAGAAAAGGGAAACAAAATAATAATTTATTAATCCTTTATATTGAGAAATATTTGGTATATTTAGATAAAAGAATACAGTAAAAGTTCCTTATTCACGGTTTCCTTTCGTGTTTTCATTACTCGCGGGTGAAAAAAATTGCAACCTAGTTCCTGTATTCGCGGTTAAAAATTTCATTATTCGCGGTTGCAATCGGTAAAGAGAAAAGGATTCGGTATCATTTATTAAGGGGATTGACCGCAATAGTCCGCTCGTGCCTAGTGTGAATTTTTCCGAAAACATGGGTTTCTATTTTAAACATTGTGATTTAACGCTACGAGATAAATATCTAATTTTTTGTATTATAACAGACAAAGGTTCACACTAACTCGGTACGTTTTTGGTTTTCAATAATATGGTCATTAAAAGCTTTTACAATAAGTGCTTAAAGTTGACGCTTCTTATAGGACACGTATGATCAATAGAAATTAAAAAATGACCTTCGACAAGCTTTAGAACAAAGCTTTATCTATCTTACTAAAAATTTCAAACTTCTGTTCCAAATATTAAACTCATGATACCTAGAACCGATAAGCATGTTTTTACTCTACAGTACGTGTACCACTGAATCTCCTTAATGTATCGGCATTTTCTGAGTATGTACAGTTGGTATGTGCCGAAGCGGCTTTTTTAAAAAATCTAACCGAATAAAAAAGGATTCGCTGTTATTTTTCAACGTATCAGCATCTTTTCAGTAGTATTGGCTCGTGCCGTAATTACATTTAAAAGGTGACAAGATCAAACATAATATTTTTCCTGTATGTTACATTACAGATGGCAATAATATCAGAATTGGGTTCACCTACGGATCCGCTATGTGCCAATGTAGCAAGAATAAAATTTACTGTTCGCCATGCTAGTCAGTATATCATTTCTGTGATGGTAGGATCTCAACATGTAGCTGGTAGTCCTTTTTCTCGCACTTTCATTCCAGGAGTGATTGACGCTCATCATACCGTTATGTTTAGATACTGTAGTACAGTTGTATGTACAGCTAATGTAGGTCATATGCTCTATGTTGAACCCAGAGACGAATATAGCAATGTGTGCACCTTTAAACCCGGACAGGATCCCACAGAGGTAAATGTTATATAATAAATCTTATAATGTATACGAGACTAGATTACATCACTTGAGCCAATAATTGGTAACTTGAAATCAAGTTCTAAATATATACATAATAAATATTTGCGTCTTTGAAGATTTACGTTTAGTATGTTTATTATGGTTCCTGTTTAATTCTGACATACGTAACATACAAAAAGAAAATAAACAACTTTCATAAATCAAATAATTTCATTTTACTCAATACATAAGAGCCGTGTTTTATTAATTGTACCTGTATTGTATCAAAACAAAACAATTGCTAGTGGTTGACTATTGTTAGTGACAAATTTGCACTTGATTATTATCAATATTCGGCTTAAAATCGTGGTCTTGTCAATTTAGTGTTCCCTGATTGGCTTTTTTTTATATTAAACTACCATCATGGTTCTAAAGTTATTATTATTTTTTTTTAACCCTGTAAATAAATAGTTCACTTCCATATATTACTAAAAAGTAATGGCTAGCTCTACAGATATGATTCTGGACTCGTACTTCAATTTATTTGAAAACTTTCGGGAAGCTAATATACTTCATTTACTTTTTGTAGCGATGTGCCCCTTCCAATGTCTTGGATGCGCGCTGGCAAAATCGTTGGTAGGGAGAAAAAAGTTCATTATACTCTCCACTCTTGTTCATTAAACATACTTTTTTATACAGTACCTGCCAAAAGTTTTGTTCAATCATGAATAGTAGTGCGAGTCGAAAACAAGCGTTGAAGCCTTTAATATATCTTCAAATATAAATATACATTTCGTTGATATTTTCAGTAATAAATGGTACCAATAACAGCACATTTGAACAGTGCAATCGTAGTGGATAGAATGGTCAATTTTTCCGTGCAGTACTGTACGGATTATACGCTCCGGTTAAGAGAGTTGTCTCCTTCCTTTTCTCGCCTAGTGCTGTTCTTTTCTACTTTGCGCCAGTCAAACTGAAGGTCGGTCACATCGCTACAGAAAGTAAATGAAGTATACATACCCAATGTCTTATGTCAGATTAGCGTATTAGTACTTTCGCTTTATCAAATAAACCATTAAAAATAACAGTACTCAGAGGTACAAAAACTCAAATTCAGTTTGATAAAATTGTAAAATATACGCAACACTGTCATTGGTACTAATAAAAATAAAAACGCTTTAACCATAGAATAATAATTTTCTTCCTGCAGATACATTTTGAAATTTTTCTTTTTTATGTAAACTTATTTTAATATATTTACCTTCCTGTTAAATAGATGTGAATGTGTCGTCTTTCTTCAAAGCTAATAAAAGTGAGATACTTAAAATAAATATATATTTTTAGGGATTTACTGTGTCTCTGAAGCAAATAGGAAGTCAGTCTCGCGAAGCCGATTTAGACAAAGCTGATGAACAAAATAAAATAAATTTGGATTACGATTGGCATAGTAAAAGACTAACGATTCAAATTAAATTCTTGTACGAAGGAATATACCATGCAACTATTCGGTACGATGATACAGAAATACAAAACGGCGATTTCGACGTTATCGTTCTCAACAGTAAGAATTGTTTTTTTTTTAATAATAAATAAATAAAATGTTTTTTGTATGCTAAATATTAATTTCGCAGGTATTGATTCCGCCTTAGTTCATAAAAATGTTGTATCAAAAAGTCATAATGTCTATTACGAGGCGAAATTAATTGCCAACAATGGTGAAAAATATAGCAAGCCGAAGAGAGTACTATGTTACATATCACCCAAACAGTTTATTATAAAGGAAATGTTCCTAAAGTTTATCCCGAAACGACTCTTCACATTCAGATTGTGCCCTTCAACAAAGGTTAGTAGATTAATTTAGTAATACTCAAAAATATTTATTTTTATATGTTTCTAACATATGTACATTTTATAGAACTTATTCGATTGATGGTTTGTTTATGATTGTTGATGTAATTTTATTGTTTGTTGGTGATTAGTTTTTTAGTTATTAAAAATTGAAATGTTGAGTGTGAAGCTGGCAAATAATTTTTTAATGTTTTTATAATTTTATTAAATGTAATTGATAAGAAATCATTTGTTGAACTTATATTGCATCACCACTACTTTTGCTTATCACTTATTTATTTAAAAAAGGGAACTAATAATCGTTGATGTATAAATTATTATACAATGTGTTTCTGATATATGTGACAAGTTTTGAGGGTTGTTAAGTAGATACAATACGGAATCACATATTGAGTAAAGCAGCGTCGTTAACAGCTTACTGCTACACTACTACAGATAATAATTAATTAAATAACATTTGCTCATCGCTGATACTGTGCAGCACTATTTAAAGTACACATTCGAACTCCAAGCTAGGAGACGGATTTCAAGAAGTTTACCGAAATAATTTCTGAGGACATATTTCATTTGGAGCAAGCATCACACGGTTCATTAGGATTGTAGAGTAAGGTGTGACACACGCTCTGTAAACTGTTCGTCTAGAAACTCGCGCACTTGTTCTTGAAATGTGAAGAAGAACATAAATCCACGAACTTATAATGGTATACCTTCAAGAAAATTCGATAGAGTTTCTTGTAAAGAAGTCAAATATGACTCCCCATTAATGCGCGGAGGTAGAATACCGAATCTTCAAAAATTCTACTCCACACATTACCGAAAATCGCTGTTGAAATCGCGCAACTTGCACGTCATGCGGATCTGTATCACACCAATAGTGCGTATTGTAAAATTTGAAAACTCTGTTCTTCGTGAAGCAATATTCCTCCAACACCATATGGAAAAAATTGGATTCTACGGCATTCTTTGCCGTAATCTCTGTTACAAATCCACTCGCGACTGAAAATCAGTTTTCTGCAATGCCTACACTTGCTATAAATGATGAGGATGAGGATACAGTAACTACTCTTTAAAATTTGCTATGCTATAACACGCGAGGAGCTTAGGTTTCGTACTATTCCACGTTTACTATTCTGGGGGTTGTTTTATATGAAATCAGGGATTTTGCCTTCTATAGCGGCGATACGGTTGGAGCGTCGACTCTCACATGCAACATTGCCGGTTTCTCTTCATTTCTGTACCGCATTTATGACGATTTACCGATGAGAAGTTGGGGATACCGACTTTATATTCAGATTCACCGTAAATTAGTGATATCTTACAAAATCCTGATATGTTAATAGTCATAGTAACAACTACTGTTCTACACTGACCTATCACAGTAACACACTGGCACTATGTGCTTCGAGTAACTGCATATATACAAACCTACAATGTTAAAAGAACAAAGAACTACAACAGGCTGGCTGTAACACAATCATAGTCAATCACACGTAATCTAATTTAACAATGCATGAATACAAAAACACAAAATAAATACAACAGGGATTCTGTTATTTACCAGCTGATTAAATAAACCATTAGATTGATACCAGAACTAGATTGACCGTTACCAGCACATTCAGATTTTTTCTCGAAAACGGTGAACTTTCGGCCCAACAAACATTTAATTAATTTTCTTGTTTTATAGTGTCATATCACCTCTTGTAAACTTATTTCAGAAACACTCTGTATAACGCTTGTGTTTTAGATTAACTAATGCGTGACGCTGCTAAAACTCGCACGATTTTCCTTCTTCTGTATAAATGACTGATCAACAAACGTAATAGTTTTGTAATTTGGATCCAAAAAACGATAATAATAATAACTTCTAGGTATTTGTCACAATTCACACAATTGTTAATAACTAAAAAATTGTTTATCAACAAATGATAAGCTTGTATCAACAGTCATCAACAATAAAAATCTAATAAGATCAATAAAATGTAAAAAATAAATTTTCATTTGCCAACTTCATACAGCCCATTTATTTATTAGCTCATCATGATCTCAGTCATTGCCGGCTTGGGCAGTAAAACTGCTTTCAATTTCTACATTCGTAGGAGTGTAAGAATCCGTTTGGTTCGCGTGTAGGTCGTAAGAATTTTATTTTCATATTCCGTAAAGTTCAAATTAACTTCTCTATAAACTTGAACTGAACAATATTTGATATGCCATCCTTCAGATATAACATTGTTTCCAATATTTTAGAAAAGCCCCCTTGTCAGGTGTAAGAAACAGTTTAACGATATTTATTAATTAATCACCACCTACCCAATATATTTCAATATGAATAAGATTTGACTGTTAAAGTGTGAAATGCCGTCAGGCACCACTGGCAACGGTAATCACCGGGATGGTTGTTAATCTTTCAATTAGTCATGGACAAAACGGTTTATAATTGCACTTTTCGGTTAAAAATTGTAGGAAAATGTCATAAAAGTGATCGATTTCTATGTCTAACGACTAGAGTTTGTAAAAATGTCATTTGATTTTATTAAGCGGTTTAAAGGATATTAACGATTGATTAAAAAATGAAAACGGAAAAAAAATGAATTTTTGTGTTGCAATCAAATCGTGCAGATCTGTCTTCTCCTATAATTTAATTGAAAAATGAAATTAGCAAGTACTGTTGCTTTTGCTACCCTGTATGTTTTATGAAATTATAATCATTAAAAATTGTCAATTTTGAGGAATTGAAGGTAGCAGACAGCAACTGGAAATAGTGGGCGCGTTTAAATGGGTGCGTTCCTTTTACACATTTCCATAGGTGATTATTTTGTCACGCATATCACGTAAATACACTATGTCTGATTAGTACTCTGGAAAAATTAAGGGTGACGAGGGTACATGAAAAAGAAATAGAATGAGCCATCTCACACCACTCAGTGATATACTTATTCATCAGGGTAATGACCTTACCGAATGCCCCAACTCCTTCGGCAAAGATGATGATGCATGTTTGCGTGATGTTGCCAGTGCATTCTCCTTGAACCATCCTCATCTGACCACCATGCCCGCATATTCTGCATGTAAATACATTGGTTTTTGTTTGATATTTTCACACTTAACTTATTTTTGTATTTTGGAGTAATAACAGTAATTTTGTCAATAGAACCCTAATGAGTGCAGATTATTACTATTTCTTACGTACAGTTAAAGTATATAGTGACAACTGTTGCGAAGGTCACCAATAGGTATAGGTGTTTCGTCAATTGACACGATAATGAAAGGCGATAAGACAACGTGGCAACTGTTCTCAATCATTGACAGCTCGTTAACTGGGGTACATTTGTGCATATGTTTTACATCCCCTACGTTGTAGTGCTATCATGAGATACACTCTGTAGTGACTCACATACCTATACATCTATATATGTATACATTGAAAGTAGGTATTTTTTATATTTTAAAATAAATGACAATTATGTTAGGAGCTCAGGATAAATCGCTAATTATGGTGGGAATGTTTTCAAGTGCTATGTACCACCCACAAAGTTGCCGTCCAAATTTAGATGGGTAATGGCTAGTCAAACACAATAATGTTCTAACCGTTATCTGCATGTTTGTCAGTTTCGTCGTTAACAAAACGACCTAAAATTAAACTTTTCAGTTAAAAATTGTAAGAAAACGACAAAACATGCATGAAAAAATATTAAAAGATGAGTGAAATGTCATAAAGGTTATCGATTTATATGCTCAAGAACTGAAGTTTTGCGAAAAATCTGTCTGATTTTATTAAGCGGTTCAAAAGATTTGAACGGATTACGTCTAGTACCTATATATCGAATAATGTTTAAACTTATATATGTCAGTACATATTGTCGCGTAATCAAACACCTTTCTGACTACTCACTAATTAGTCTAACTATTTAATTTTTAATCAACACCACTTCTTGGTTATTGGGCTGCCTACATGTGACACTGTATGTCAGGCTGCCTACATATGATATTGCCTCCCTCCTAAAACTGATCGTCAAGATCAGTGACGTCGCCTCTGTAGGAAATAAACCGATCAATACGGACGATCTTCATTTTTGCCCGAGATCTTCTGAATTCGATAAATAATGTCTTTGATGCATCGAATAACGGTGTATGGACTAGCCCATGATTGTTGTAGTTTCGAGCAACGTCTCTTCCGCCTGAATGAATAATATAGTCCTCATTAAACCCAACAGAATTGGCTCGTAGGTCGTATCTGTTCCTGCGGTCACTTTCAAATCGTAGCTTCGTGTGCACAGCATTGCGGACGGTTTCTAGTCCTTGAAATTTTCGCACGTATTCATCCGTATAAATAAACTGGAGAATCTCCGGGACGACCAAACATCGTGTCTACTAGCAGTTTGAGGTTTTTCCTAAATAAAATACTGGCCGCTATTCTTCACGTTGTCTCATTCAGATGGATCTATAAGCTAAAAGGAAAATCGGTTTGTGTCAGTCTTAGTCAGTTTGGTGCTCGTTGACGAAGCCTTTTAAATTCATCTCCAGTTAAATTACGTAACTTGCGCGCGAAGCAGATACATGCTGCTCAGCTCGCTCCACCCGGCTTTTCAAATTATCTTAAAACACTGGAGACACACAGACCATTGAGAGGGATCAACCTGCAGCTAATCATCTAAGGTACCCAGGAGACGTGAATTAACCGGTCGCACATCATCTCGACCCGGCTAATACTGTCATCTTACTCGGACATCACGGCCTAACCTCACTTTTTGTGACATTTCATCCCCCACGATTGGCGGACTTCTGAAGCGTTGTTTGGCGAGGAACATATTTCCTGGCATAACTGATGCTTGGAGAGGTGAGCTGTGATACATGTGGTCCATGGAACTGATCGTTTTCACCTGATTGGATGTTGTAACGTCTGTGTGAGAGCTCTGTGTTAGTGTGCGTGCTTAAGCCTCGCTCACAACACCTTGCTTCGGCATACTGAGCGCGCGCACGCGCACTGAGGCGCGG